TACACATGTCAACATGGCAGAATCCCACGTCCGTTTGGTTACGCCAATCAGGAGGTGTGGCCACCTCCAGTCCTCGTTCAACTTTCCTCGTCCACATGCACGTGAGGTGGGCATGTGGTGTGGGTATGAAGGAGGTAACCAAGTCCTCGGAGGCAAGAAGTGGGTGGGATTTTAGCCGACCACCTTTCTTGGTTTATTGCTTCTTGAGGATTATGCACGGGACGGTGAGACGAGGGCTTCTTGTCACACTCCGAACGCCCCCTCGTCAGCCGGTTCGGTCAGCTTACCACTCGCCTCCCGACAACAAATGAAAGGCTTGACAACTCCAGCCTCTCAAGACAATCTCGAAACCCAACCTGCCTGCACACCGGGACTCGTGAGTGTGCTGGTGACTCGTGACTCGTGACTCGTGACACGAGATGCCGCCATTGCAATCGACGAGCTTACTTAATTCGTGAGTGAGTAGTTTGTAGAGACTGGCACTAAATCGGAAAGATCAGTTGTTTTCATCATATTTCGTTTAAAGTGATGAAGGAATTGTGGTACAATTTTCACACAATCTGGTGAGTAGAGCTGATGTTTTTTTGCATTCAAATTGGCATAGCCTTGCTCTCGCAAATGCTGTCCTTCTCCCGGCACCAGTTGACGGCACTTCCGATTCAAGACAGGAGTCGAACAATGACACTTCGACGTGTAAGTTCAACACGTTTGCCACTCCGCCACACCAACAAGACTGTCCTCGGGCCTCAAGGCGAATGTGAATTTCAACCATTGTCAGGCATTGTCCATATCACATTCTGTGTTGCGACTGTCGGTGAAGCCAACTTAAATTTGCCGTAGAAATCGACGACATTACTTTTTTCGTGAGTGAGTAGGTTTTCGAGGCCACCAGGATTTGTAGTCGCTAGAGCCTACTCACTCACGAAAAAAGTAGTGCGGTCGATTGCTACAGCAAATAAAGGTTTGTTTCATCGACAATCCCAGCACAGAATGTGATATGAGCAATAGCGGACATTCTTTGAAATTCACATCCGCCCCGCCACGCAACGGCAATCGTGGCAATGTGGCCGAGTGGTTAACGTGTCGAGCCGACATGCTGTGCTCTCGTGGTTCGAGTCCCGCTGGGTCTGTTGACAAAAGCGATGCGAGGTCGAAAGGGCAGTCCACTCCCGCCTGGAGGAGAACAACATTGCAATTCGACGCAAAACATCAGGTCTACTCATGTGATTGTGGGGAAAATTGACTACC